AAGCTTCAAGTGTGTGAGTGTCATTTATTTTGAAAATATAAGGAGCAATTTTTTCACCTTGTTCCTTTTTTAAAATATTTCTAATGGTGCTATAATTTTTGGGTTCCATAGTAGACTGATGTAAGTTGACTTCATATTAACTATTTTTGTCTAGACAAATATCATTGATCACATTGTATTGGTAATGTGATTGTGATATTAAATAAATAATATTGATCCCTGAAATTCTTGGTAATACCAATATTCACTTTGTCTGGTTTTGTTGCAGCATGCCCCATATTAAAATGTCTTCAGTCTTTTCAGAAGAAAATAGAAAAGTGCTTGTGAACACATTAAAGCAATTTTTGAAACTTACCAGGAGCATCCTTCCAACACACAATCTCCTGTAGTAGGTTATGATCATTTACTACAAAGTGCTTCAACACCTTTGGTATCAGAATTAGATCATTATAATTATTATCTGTTACATAAGGACCTTTTAGAACTCCAACTCCCAATTGTAGTACTGGACATGAAAAAGGGGATTTACATGGTGAATTTGGACGAATTTTCTGTTGGAATTTGTCTCATATAAGGTTATCCTATTTCACCACAACCAGAGGAAATAGGATTACCAGAAGACATCTGTATATATAGGTGCAGAAAATTCCCACAAACCTTAATTCTATCCTTTTTTGTTCTAGAAAAAATAATTAAGGAAGATTATTGCTTTAAAAATAAAAACTCCGATTATAATAATTGAAATAAATACTATATAGAACTTGTTTTGCTCTATCAGAATCTGTCAATAATCTATTATGATCCATTAATTTCTTCAAAGTATGCTTCTATTGAAAATTGAACAATTATGTACCAGGAGTTGGCTTTTTTTCTAATTCTAGTGAATAAAACATTAAAGCCAAATTCTAGACTTTATCATGTTTATTTGCTTCACTTGCTCAAGAATATATTGGGAGTAATTTGATCAATTTTGAAGACATGTATCAAGATCAACAGCAAAGGAACATTTTTGAATTTTTTAAGAAAGCCTTTTGCTAAGTATTTCCTGGATTATCTTTTTATTTTTAAGAACCAACTATTGACTTTTATTTAGTTTCAATCATATTAAAACTATTTATTTATTTTTACTGTATAAATTTATTTTTATAGTTCACCCTCTTTATAACCAACCTAATTTTTTTGTTTTCATTTGTTATAAAGAGAGAAATTAATATAAAAAAAAGAATTGGAGATAAAAATGAAGTTCATTGTAGAGAAATTTAGTGTTCATTATAGAGATAATGGACTGTAATCATGTTCCATACAATAGATGTTATTAATTTTATAACTTTAACAAGATTCCTGATGAATGAGTGACAGATTAATAAAACCAAACAACTCTTCACTATCTATAATGAACCATTTGGCTTACAAAAAAATGTCTTTTATAGAGAGAGCCCATTATAGACAGTAATGATTATATGTGGCATAAAAATTGGTATAGAGAAAGATCTGTTATATAAAAATCCATTAGTGTGATGAAAAAGGGGATATAAACGAAATATAAAGAAATCATGGAACTTAAAAAAGGACTTGGAGGAACAGAGAAACTTAGAGAAGAATTTGCAAAAATAAAAATTGATGCTAATTATTATGAAAAGCACCTTTTCTTTCCATTGCCGAAGATTTATTAAAAGCCTTAAAAGAAGGAATAATTGGAAAAAATAGTGGTAATGGAACTAGAAAGAATGACAAATGTGCTAAAACATTTGGTAAGTTTTCTAATGCTGAATTGTCAATTCAAAAACCAGAATGTTTTAGATAAAAGGAGAATATCGTTGGGAATGAATTACAGTTGACTCTGTCTGTACTGAACCCCCATCATGAGAATTTTCGTTTGTTATAGCCAGCTAGATGTGTCACGTGATGGTACTATATATATAATTTATTTTTTTCACCCGATAACAATTGTAATAATAATTATTTTATTTGATTTAGCAAATATCAAGTTCTAAATATTAAAGACAAATCAGAAATAAAATCCTATTTATTATACATAGTGAACTCTCTCTATGAAGAACAACAATGGGACAGAGAACTTTGACTATATTAATATTCGATAAATAGATTGTTACACGACACGTATGTTTCACTAAAATAACGAACAAATAAATAACAAAGCAATAACAATGGTAACAGATCTGGGATTAGATGAGGTATATATTTATTTAAAGATTATTTTTTTTCTTTGAAAAATGATGCTTAAAAGTTTTTTATTTAATAAAATATGTAATAAACCATAGGAAATCAAATTATATACAAATAATAAAGAAAGAGAAAAGTATGAATTATTATCAGATTTATATGCAATAATTGTTACGATGGAACATTTAGAAAAAGCTTATATAAGAGATTTAATTCCACACACAGAGTAATGAAATATGTAATAAATTATTTTTCAAAAGAATTAGATTTTAAGAAAGGGAAAATAATTAAAAAATCAATTTTTTTATAGATATACACCAGCTTGTGGTAAATTAATAGCACAGTATAAAACAGCCGTGAATCTCGTTAATGATTCTGTTCCTGATGTAGAAAAATTTATGAAAGAGTACAAGGTAATTCAAATTATTGTGAATGTATTGGATATTAATATCAACATCAAATCATTAAAACTATTAATTGTAGCTTGAATGTCCTGCAGCAGTAAATAGATTTAAGATAGGAGTTCCTGCAACTGTTGAACATTCTACTGGAGCAGGGCATGATCCTAGTAATTCAGCTCAAAATGTAGCAGAAACTGTACAGGTAACAAAAATCGCATAATTATTATTAATAACACACATCATATTTTTGTGTATGTATAATATATTATGTGTATTGCCTATCTAACATTATAAAAAAATTTCCATTTTTTTTTTTCAAATAATATATATATTTTCATTTTCTCACCATCTCATCCAAAAATTGAAAAAAAAAGAATTTTATTACTGTTATGGATGTTCTTAAACTTCGAATAAGGGCAGTTGATGAAATTCATCCATTGTTAAGTAATTTAATGCAGAGTTTAAATAAAATGACATCTTTGCCACCAGAATTTGAAGGAAAAGCCAAAATTAGAAATTGGTTGATTACTTTGAATGGAATGAAAGCAAGTGCTGAAATTGATGAGGAACAAGCAAGACAATTATTATTTGATCTTGAGAAATCTCATAATTCTTTCTATCATTCTTTATCATCGGATAAAAATTAATTATTATTACTAATAATAATATTATATAGCAATTGTAAATTAATTATTTAATGTTATTATTGAAATAATAAATTTAGAAAAATTTAATAATAAAAATGATTTTCCCTAATCATTAAAACCTATGTATTAAAATGGTTACTGAAATTAATTTTCAAAAATAAATCAAATAGCATACGTTCAAAATATTGTTGAAATATTCAAACAATTCCGACTATATTTATATACACTATTGCTATGTTTCAGGCATCTAATTCAGCCAAAAAGTTATTTGTACAAACTCTTTTGATTCCTTGAGCATCAATATGTTTCTTTTCTAAATATTCTTTACCGAAATTTATCATTAATTAATGCTAAATATATATTAATATCATATTCTGAATTTCGTAAGTCAAGTATATCTTTGGTAAAAGAAGGAGATTGTCTATTTTTTGGTGAAACATTATTATTTTTCATTCTAATTGAAAAATATACTTTGTAAAATAATTAGAGGCTTGTTTTTAAATTGATGACATCAAAGTTACACGAAATTTAAAAATGATTTTTAAAAAATTACCATTTGATTGTATATATCATATATTTGAATATCTAGAATATAATTACGAGACACTTTATTCATGTATACTTGTGAGTAGAAGTTGGTTTCGCACTGTTGCACCAATACTATGGAAAGATCCATTCCATTCAAAAAATAGCATGAAGACAATGATCAGGTGTTTATCAAAGGAGTCAAAAGATTTTTTTGTGAAAAATAATATCAAACTATCATTTGAAGTATTGGATGATGATAAACTACTACTATGCAACTATTCAGAATTTGCTAATGAACTACGAATGGAAGATACATTATATGATAATAGTCTAGATTTGATTGATGAAGAGATTGAGGTGGTGAAGAAAGAAAAGTGGTATTTGTTACTTAAAGAATTAGTAAAATTTATCATGACTAATTCCCGAATAGAAAGAATTTTCTTACATTATTTGGAGCATTTTTTGTTGCTTGAACAACCCAAATTTAATCAATGTTTCTCAAATCTTAGAGAATTGGCTTGTGATGATAATGTTAGTCCAAGATTGTTTCATTTATTGGCACAAACTACTGATAAAATAGAAATACTTGGTTTGGAATTTTACAATTATAAATCAAATATGGGATTGGTTGAATTGATTAGAGCACAGAAACACATAAAGAAATTATTATGTTTCACATCCAATGACTCCATACCTAAATTAGTCAAAGAGGCATTGCTTCTTCACGCAAATAATTTAGTGGAATATACTAGTATTGGGTGTTGTGATCTGGATTACACATTATCAAACTTTGAGAGCCTTGAATCTTTAAATCTGCATAGATATAATCTTGTTAATGATTTTGATGATATTTTCATTGAGAATTTGAAATTTGATTTACTAGAGAAAATCAATGTTAATTTTGATGGACAAGATTGTGTATATACTTTGAGTAAATTTTTCAAATTGAATGGCAAGAACCTTAAAGTTATTCAGTTTGATGGGTACCCAAATGATCCAGAATTCTTGGAAGAATTTATTGGATCAATTGCACAAAATTGTCCAAACTTGGAATACTTGTCACTAATTTATGATAGTTATGTAGCAAAAGATTTATGTAAAATTTTTAACACCTGTACAAAACTAAAAGGTATCTCTGTGAGAAAGATTGATGATATTCTACCAACTTTTGAAGATTTATTTTGTGCTTTGATGACTGCTTTACCACAACAAATAAAAATATTATCATTTAGACAAAAATGTTTACTTTTAGATGATGTTTTAGAAATGTTTTTCAAAAAATGGACTGGCTATGCACCAATTCGTATTGAAATTTTTAATGGTGATGAGGAGGTGGTTTATGATGATATTGGAGACGAAGTTAAAATGATTGAATTGTTGACTCATTATAAAGAAAAGGGATTATTAGATTTCAGTGTCTTTGATTCGATTCCAAAATTTGATATTTTCCTGGAATCGTTATAATTATTAAATTATTAATAAAATTTATAATAATAGTTAGCAACAATAGGATAATTAAGGTTTTAATTGTACAGCAGCATTTATTTATTTAATAAATTAGAAAAAAAATGTAACTATATGTGCATAATAAAAAAAAACATTATAATAATATTGGAAGAAGAAAGTATTAGTATTAGTATGTACTCGTTTTTCGATTATGCAAGTTCATCTAGGATCAACAAAACTGTCAAACTTTAAAGGCTAATAATTTTTGAACTGAGGATATGGAAAAAAAGCAAACCAACATCAATGTAGCTTAGGCTCTAAACTTTAAATTTCTCTTTTTCATAACCTTCTTAGTTTAGCCTTTAAAGCTTGACAGGTTTGTTGATCTTAGCTTCACGCTATTTGAGTAAATGCTGGTGACAATTAATTTTTCACTTGGGAAGAGTAATAAAAAACTATTATTTGCTGTCTAGAATACCTAATTTTCAATTTAACTTTGGTATGTACATTTTTTCTATTTCTTCAATTCTTCAAACATTTCTTTTAGATGTATATCGTTCACTTTTATGTGGATTACCTGCATGAAAAGGGTTTTAATAATTCAATTACTTTATTTGTCATATGTTTTCCATCGCCTTTTTTTCCAACTTTTGATTTTCCTCCAATGCACAACCAAGTTGGAAGTAGTTTTTATATGAACAAGCATATAAGTTGTTCAGAATTTCATCATAAAAAACAATTATCAAAGAATTTTATCAGGTTAAGAGAAAAAATTTGATAACAACCTCGCCACCATTATTAAAAACAAATAGATTATAAGGTTCTGGGTTATTACCATGTGTAATAGGCGAAGGAGGCAACTGCATCCAACTAGATGCATCATTATTTGATTCAATTGGCTTTAGTGTTCTGACCTGTCCATGAAAAGTGGTATCTTGATTAAAAGTCTCAACTCTGGAGAATAAATTTTTGCAAATAAAGGATGCAATAATAAATAGACTGCCCAGTAATTGTAAGGATGAAATTATCACGCCAACAATGGACATTTATGCTATTTTATTCGATTTACTTTTACTTTTTTTTTTGTATTAGACTTTTACTTAAGATGAGAAGAAAAAAAAATTTATAATAAAGCACGTTGGCATTCTTTTCAATAGACTCGTGATCTTCAAAATTTTCTTTAGAGCTGGCAGGGTTCCTCACCACATACACCCCATTAACTAACTGATGTTCACCTTTACCCTCGACAAAATTAGCCAACGCTTTATGTTTAATTTCATCGTCAGAGATTTGATCGATTTTTGTTAGGACACCAACCGTGCGTTTACCGCTAGGATCAGCTTCTTTTGCTAATTTCCAAGCACTTTGTGTCGCTATATCCGCAGTTGCTTGAAATATTGGTAAAAGGATCGTCGTATCTTTATTGATATATTCTTTAACAAGAGAAATGACAAAGTCCTCATTCTCCTGGTTGTCTCTGATAATTCCTTGATAATTAAGGAAAAATATAAATTTTACGATTTTATCGAAAAATATTTGTAATTAAATAAACAAATAATGTTCTCATTACCAGGAAGGTCGACCATGGCCAATGAAAATTTTTGGTTAGGATCACCGATTGTAACGCAAATAGCGTTACGCGTGAACATCAACTCGTCTTTATTACCCAATGTATCAGATATCGGGCTATCTTGTACTTTTATTGATGGATTTAGAACATAACGCTGAGCCTCTCGTAATTTGTCTTCAATCTTTTCATGTTCCATATCTAGAATATCACAAAAATCGATTTCGCTTGGAGACGTTGCTATACGTTTGCTATTTTCCACATATCGTAAAGATATCCTACGAATTGGCTCTTGTGTCTGCATCATTCTAATTTCAAATGGAGTTGCAGTGCACCTACCAACACCTCTGATAATAAAATTTATATAAAATAAATGGTTAATAAATAATGCGTTTAAAATAATTTTTTTACATTAAAATATGTTTATATATTACTTCGGTACAGGAATGCCACCAGTTAATCTTTGCATCAAAGAACTTTTACCAGCGCTTTGATCACCAAATGCTACAATAGTAGGTGTATCATTCTCAAGCTCACTGGTGTACTTGCGGATCTGCACCATTATGTCTACATAGTTCTGTGCATTTTGAGTTTGTGCCAAAGGTGAATCAAACATTTTAGAGGTATTAATTTGATATTTTACGATGTATTTGTATGTTTGATAATGTTCTGCGTGTAATATTTTTTAAAAAGTGAAATGTCTCATGGGATTTTTTATACATACATATATATATACATACGAAATTTACCCGATTGATTCCAAATTTAGTAATTTATTGGACCATTATTCAAAGAAAAACAAGAATTGAACGCATAAACCTGTTTTTTTTTTTTTTCTCTTAAAAAAACTTGATTTT